CTGAATTAATAACGGAGATACAGCCCACAGATGGCATATAGTATGGTTTGAGACAGACTCATTTTGACAGGTGACAAAGACGACTACTCATCTAGTCATGTGAAATTAAGCACTTACGGGAATGGCAGGTGTGAACTGCCTCCTTTATACAGATTTGGAAGCATCCCATCACTCACAGAAAGTGCCATACTAAAATCCCAGACAACTCTGGGATTATGTTAAATCCACAAAGGAGGCAAGCTAAGGCTGAGATGTGAGTCCCTGCCCTTTTACAGTCTGGATGATCTAGAGTCCCTTGTGATTTGGACAGAGCCCTGGATAACTTAAAAAGAAAATTAAGTTTCAACCCAAGGAAAAGTGAAATATAGTCAAGGCAAAATCAGTATCTAACACTATGGCATGAACATTAATTTCACCTTATTTTTACATTTTACTTTGTACTATTTTACTTTATTTTCTATTTTTACCTTATTTTTTTACTTTTCAGACTAATTCCCATTCATCATTTATCTACTACCATTGCTTTAATGGAGTTTTCCCAACCCTCCCTTTCCATCAGTCACTTGAAGTGGATGTTAAACACTGTCTCACCAGAGCACTAGCGAGTAGCTTCATCATATGACTGAGGAAAAAATGTCTGGAGGTTACCTCTAAAGCAGGGTATTCCTTATATACACTGTATATATACTGTACGTTTACTACATGATGATACCATGGGGTGATAAAATCTTTGACATCTGGCAGTGTGTGTAACTAGAGCAGTAGCTCTGTGCAAAGACATATGAACAAGCACAGGGTAACCATACACACATACACTCCTTGCAGGTTTTTCCAGGACTATGTGAAACAAAAAAAAATTTTGGGGCAAATTATTTTCATAGTCCATGTCTGTTTATTAAAATTTTCTTCCATGTAGATAAAATCCCAAGTTTTCCTCAATGTAATGTTGCATCAACATTTTAAGATAGGACAGACACCTGGCAAGGGTGTGTTTCAAAAACACTCTCTCAGTTTGAGACCAACCTTGAAATAAGCAAGCTATATGCTTCAGGCTGGATCCATTCAAACAGACTGCTAAGACTGTGAGAGCACTTTGGAAAATGCAATACTCTCTCCATTGTTTGGCCTGGTTTTCTCTGAGAGGAAAACTGAGGATGTCTCCTGTAGGTAAACCAAACTAACTTCTTTCTCAGTCATAGTGCCACAACCGAGAATTCGAGTCTCTGGTCATTCAGTTTCTTTGAACACCACAAATAATCCTCTCTGTCATAACTCAAACCTCATGCTGGAGAAGTCCTGCCAGGATTTGCTGTGCTCACTTTGATGTGCCCACTGAAAGCAGCAATGAAATTTTAAAATGCAGTTCCTCATGCTCCCTTCACAGCCATCGGTTCTTTCAGTCTGGAGTGAACTTTGCAGTAGACAAACTAAATTAGCTTCTAAGGAAATCAGAGCAGTAGCCATACTCCAGGTTCACCATGAATGTACTCCATCCACATGGGAAACAGCAGGATTCAAACTAATGGTATGTATTTGAAACAGTTTTGGATCATGGGTAGTGGGAAAGTTTGATTAAGAGAATTACATTTATCTTGAAACAAAGACTCCAAACAGCAGATAAATTTATACATAGTGGCTTCACCACCAAATTCTATGTTTTCCTCATCTCCTCTTAATACTTCATACTATGCAGTAATGTAAACACAGACATCATCTGTGGCTAAAGAAAACAGCAGATAAAAAATCTAGTACTTTAGATTATACCCTGAATAATTATGATAAAGGCTCTTTTTGTAATTACATAGGTTAGTATCCAGCATGCCAAAAAAAGCATCTAATATTTTGCATGACTATAAAACATTACATGGTTCCAAACATATCTTTCTTTTTAGACAAGAAGGCACAAGTGAATGCAGAATTTATAATCTGAAAGCGCATGCCTGCTTCTTGTCCCAAGATGATTCATGCTACACAAGGCACTTCTACCACCCTATTTACTGAATAAAAACTGAAGTACTAAATTGTCAGACCACAAAACACAAGCATAGTATGGATTTTCATGAAATAAACAGCATCCTCTGAAATGACAAACATCATCAAGTACAGAACGGCATTTATCTGACAGCAGTACCTGAAGGCACTGGTTATGCTATTTTAAATCATATGAAAACTTAAACTGACTCCCTACCTGAAACAAACTTGAGTTTGAATGGCCACTGGCCCAGGCCTACAAATCTACCAAGCCTTCCAGCATAAGACCCTTAATGCCCATTGCACAGGAGCTTTTCTCTGCCCCTCCTCTGCTCTAATCCCACCACTCCTGACCCAAGGGAAATTGTCTTCCTCCTCCTCTCCTTGTGCTGGCCTCCACCAGTGGAATAGCAGAACTGTTGGCTACCACTTCTTAGTAGAGACTATGAAACTGATTCCCAGACACTGAGGCAGATGAAACAGTCTCACCTGCAGGTAAGCTCCAATAAGTATGGAAGAAAAGTGAACAAATCAAAATTTTTGCTTTTTGGCTGAGTCTTTAGGGAAGCACTATCCAGATCTCAAAATTAATTTCTACATTTAGAGGACTACTGTTGCTCTATGTCACATATCATTTTGAAAGTGAAACAAACCCCTGCCGAGTAGTTGCATGAGTACAATTTTATGCCAAAAACATCTGTTTTTTAAAAAAGATACATGATTGGAATGACTTTGTACTTTATATTGCATACAAAAAGTGACACAAGATTAGTACATTTTCTCAGGTAAATATTTTTCACAGAAAGCCAAACAACATCATAATTAGAAAGATGACTTCTCAAAAACAAATCAATAAAATGCAGCATCTTTTAAAACAATTAATGAAATATGTTTGCAATGAATAACACATTTTCATATCTTATGAGATAACAGATCTACATCTGGATTTTATCCTAATCAACTGACATGATGGTTAACCATCTTCTGACTTAATTTTAGTTTTTTAAACAAATTACAGTTTTACCTTTAATCAACTGGAAATTAAAAGCATGTTGACAATAAAAAGTTTCTTTTGTTTGGTGAAAACATATACAGGAGACTGCTTACATTCCCCAGTGATCCTTCAGAGAAAAGTCTGGTAAGCTTGGAAAAGGAGATTAAACAGAAATGCAAAAAACAAACAAACAAACAAAAAAAATTCACTAATTTAGTTTGACAAATCAGAAAAATTATGTCACAAAATTTCAAGATCAGAAATTCTTGGTCACACGTGAAACATGGAAATGTGATTAAATAATCCTTAGAAGAATCATATAAATTGAAAACTGTATGGAACACTGAAGAGGACGAGCAACAGCAGATGTTGCTACTGCACAAAAAAGCTGGTGCACGCAAACACATGTTCTGCTCAGCAACACTTAAGAAACACATTTCCAATAGGCTTCCATGAATTCCTCTGCCTTTGCCATGACACCTGAAGATGCATTTTTAAAGAGATAAGAGTACTTTTCCTAAATATGAGTCAGGTAAAAAAATGAGTCCTATCTACAGCACCTTCTGGAAAATTTAGAAACAATAAGACTATATATCATAAATTTACAGATTTGTGACATGCTCATACTTACTATGATTGAAGGAAAGCAACATTCTTTCCACTTTTCTTGGATTATATCAAGAATGTCCCTTATCTCATCAGAGCAGTTTGTTATTTACAGCAACTGATTTTTCTATTTTTTAAAGCTTTGAGAGCAGTCATACAATGACCAGCAGTGACAAAAGCAGCAGTCTATGCCAAAACACTTTTAATAACATGAACTAAAAATGAAAGCAAAGGAACTAACTGTGAAAATTGCTAAAAGCTTGATTTGCTTTTGTACAAGATGCTGAAAAATGTTAAAATACAAAAAGAAAAGAAGAAAAGCTTGTGGCAGATATGAGAGTCCCAGACACAATGCAAATTCTGAAAAACACTACCACACTGCTTCCTAAAGGCTCCTATTCAGAGTGCTGAGTTAAAAGTCTCTCCTAGTAAAGCATATACTAAACCAAAGAATTAAAGAGCAACCCAGGAAGTTTCTTGCAATTTTTGCAGTTCAAATTCTTTTGCCAGAGAAGTGAAAACCTGCTTATTCCTACCAAGATGAGATTCCTCTGGCCCACGTGCTTCAACAATAGGCAAAGGTGCAGTTATAGCACTCTGATAAGAAAATACTGTCCTTGACATCTTAAGAAAACACAGGTTCAACTATTAATGCTATGTTACATTTGGGAAAGCAGCACGGATACCAGCTACTTATCTGGGTATTAAACATGCACATGGTTACAAAATTTACTTTCAACTATATCCTTCCCTCCTTTTTTCCTCCTCTTTACAGTTATGTTCATTCTGTGGACAGTTTCTAGGAACTTCAATAAATTCATTAGGTGACAGAATCCATCAAAATCAACCTACCTTTCAGAAGAAACTCACTTCCTCCTCTGCATGAATAAGCTACTCTTTCAAATTCACACCTCTAATTTCATTGAACTGCTTTGTTACATTTATTTTAAACACAGATATGCACTTATATTTCTAGTTCTTATCATGAAAGTTCTAAACACGCTAGAAGTAGGATAATCAATACATTACTGAGTGAGACCACCATATAGTGTTTCTGGAAATATTTGTCTTAAGGTGCAGCAGGAAAAAAAAAATCAATCCCATAGTCCATCACTTGCAAATGACATTTCCTTTAGTTCTTGGAAACACTAGATATACACACAAATGAACATCACTACAATAAAGTCCTACATGTCAGAGATCTCAGTAGTATTATAATTCCAAAATTACTTAAGTATCTTATTATCTCAATAACTTGTTGTGTCAGGCAAATGGCTTTACACTTTTAGTCTAATATTGTAAATGTATTTTAAGTCTATTATGTTTTTAAGCTACTGCTTAAAACGAAAGACACTTCACACAAGGTTCCATGCTGACTCACTCAATGAACGCCCATGTTGGTGTATAAATGATTCCTTTTCTTCCTTACCTCCAGATGCTCCAAAATATAGGGAGGGTTTGTCATGCCAAGCCTCAGCATAGCTCCCTCAGGAATAACTTCAACCAGCTTCCACAGAAGCGTGGGGAGATCTGTGCCAATGTCTCTGCCATAAGCCCCTGTGTCTTCACTGGTCAGCCATATCTCACAAACACCCTCTGTGAATAAAAGAAAGAGATAATTAACAAATCTGTTTTAGAGCTGTTTATTTTATCATACAGCTGCTCACTCTTTTAAATGCAGTATTTCACATGGCTATTATGCAGCCAGACTGGGTATTCAATTGCAAAGGGGAGGGAAGGAGAAGGAAGGCTTATCCCATGGGTAGCAGTGGGTTATTAAGTTCATTTTATGAGCACAAGAGTGCTACAACAATGCTGTAAATTATCATTGCTGTGGAGTGATTAACATTCACAGCCAATGACTAATTCTGTGCTGCCTCTACAGCAAGTCAGACAAGTTTAATACTCTGTTTTATTTTTTGAGTCTAATTCATTAAACACCGCAAGAGACATCACCCAAGCAGAGTTTGCACTAATGGTTATTACAATAGTTAGCTTATTAACTGGTAAGCTTCCAGTGAGCAAAACCAGCTGTAAAGCACTGTGATTAACATTCCTCCTGAAGTAACTATTAAAATCTTGTATTCTTTAAATTATACAATTAGCAATGAAATATTAAGGTTGTATTGAAAAGGTTAGTGACCACTGCACGACTGAGTGATAATAGGGGAAAGCCTGTTTCCTGGCAGTTAATGCTTCATTTTCCATCAATCAGAGCCTAAGGAAGTACTGCATTTGATTTATATTGTAAATAGCAACCTTGAACACTGATATTTGGTAATAATATCCTTCTACCCAAAGAGAGGAAGATTGTACCACCCTTTAACAATAGTTGAAAGCATTGAGGTTTCATGCAGCCACTTCTGCCAGCCTGCCCAGCCTTCATCCTTTTTTGCAATACAATCCCTCTATACCCTTCGTTACTACCCCAAAGCAAGAAATAAACCATCAAACCCAGGGTGTCTGTGAAGAAAACACCTGTGATTCACAGCAAGATAAGACAGCATTAACTCAATGAAGAGCTAAACTTCTAAAACCAATCATGAACTGGTAAAAGAAATTATCAAACACTAGAAGGTGCATAATTCATCAAAGCACACTTTGGGGCCAGCAGAGAATGTATCAGAAAATATAAATGCTTATGTTACAAATTTATACTCAAATGAGGAAAACTTAAGCACATACACCGACTTTAATCACATAAAAAGCAATAAACCTAGAAAACCAAATGTTTTACAAAATGTAAATCCAAGACTTCTACTCTTAAATTCACTGCAAGAATAATGGCAAGCCATGCTGAGCATCAAAGTTAATCCTGTTGGTGCAGAAATGTTTTCAAGGTAATTTATTACTTAGAATGAAAAATGCTTAAAAATTTAAGGTTAATTGGAAAACTTCTTACTTAAGTTTTGCTTCAAGAATAGGTTAGTGAGGGAGATGTACAATTTGTATCTTGAGAGAAGTCTGGTGTAAAGCATTCTTGAAGTACTAAGTGCTCTTTGGTCGACCATTTGCAGTCTCAAGTTTGTAGAGACACTCAAACTGAGCTCCCTGTGCAGAATCTTGCCTGCAGGACACAATTACACTGTGGATTTCAGTGCACTTGCTAATGTTTTTGGAATTCATCTCACCACAGGCAGTACCCACCATGAAACATACTCTTGGGTTTGCTGCCTGCCCTACATTTTCCTGAAACACATGAAAAAAGAAGTGAATTTTATATGCTGTATGTTAAAAGAAGAGAAATGTAAGGAATCTAAATGATTGGAAGGTCCTGTTTTGTTTAGTTTGTGTTTCTTTACATGAGTCTCCATAAGAACACTACAAAACTTATTGATTTGCTGAATTTCTACTGTAACAGAGCAATTCTCATTTGCAAGCTTTCAATCTAAAGAGTTGCATGGGGTTTGAGTTGGATTTCCTTTTTCTTTTTTTTCATTAAAATGGCTAATGGAATACTGCCTCACAGTTACCAGAACACTGAGGGAAAAAAAATAAATCACTGGCTAGGAATGGAAATAACATTCCGGTGGAAAACAACAGCGAGCTTTTAAAGCGGCATAGGTGGGGACCATTAGCCCCCTGGTGGGCTGAAACTTCAAATTAAATCACAAGAAGAGGAAGCAGCTGTAGTAGTAAATCAGCAACAGCAGGAATAACTGTCTCATCTGCTCCCCGATCAGGGTGTTGAACAACAAGCAATGGGAATAATGCATGCTGAGAGATCCAAGGATGTAGTCTTATTACCGGGGCGGGGGGCAGAGGGAGGGGGAAGAACACCTGTATTCTATGAAAAAGTTCATGTCCCAGTTTCAGGTTGACAAAATGGATCTTCAAATACTGAAAGCTACTGTGAGTGATAAATATTTACAAGCAGGATCATTAGGATAAATCAACTTTGCACACAACTGTGTGTGAAAGAGGTTGTTCTATGTGGACTGATTTTAGGCCGTTTTTTTAGTCCTTTGCATTCCCAGTTTAGGAGCCTAAACTTACACTAGGTAAGAAAAGAAAACAATAGACCTCTGAAACAGTATTAATGAAGTCAGTCAACATCCCCCATTTTCACTCCACCCAGTTCCCCTCCAAACTCCAGCCCTCCACAGGAACCTGTTTAAATCCATTGTCTAATCATGTACATAATATTTTTCTTTTCTTTTGCAGCGTACTTCATTCGATTATTCATCACTCTGTTACTGGGCAATTTTGGTGCTAATAAAGGCAAGCTGATTTTGTAAACAAGAAAATTGATTCAAACAGGAGGCTTCAGATGTGCAAACTCAGAGCATTTGTTACAGTATTAAGGCAAATTATCGCTGTATCCAAGTAATTATAAGTCTGCCTTTGGTCATAGCTTGTGGTTTATTTCTCACTCTGCCATCACTATCCAGCACAAAAGAGAAACCTTAACAATTGGCCTCTGATCTCTGCTCTGCTGTAACTGGAGATTACTGAGAATGAAAAATGTTGGAAAAAGAATATTCCAATATTTGCTTCATTCCAAGCAAATGAAGAAAGTTCTGAGCCTATTCCTTCTCACATGTCTCAATATAAAGTATACTCTTTGCAGATTATCTGATATGGGTTTTAATTTAATTTCTGTGGGGTAAGCAATCCTTATAACAAAGGAGGTATGAAATCCTACATCTATCACTTTTACAAAATATGTGCATTCCTGGTTTAGAGACCACTTCAAATTATTAATTTCTTTAATAAAAAACTTATAGCATTTTCATTTTGCTTTATCTTCACATCACTATTGTAAACACTGTTTTCGGCAGTACCAAACATCCTTTAAACTGAAGAGAAGTGCATTCCATCAGAAAAACGAATTTATTTCAATCCACAAAAAGATCTGAAGATGTTAAAACACTGGACACCAATACCAGTGAAATTCTCACATTTGATAACTGAGTATACAAATTAAATTAAATCCCCAGATCCTCCTGATTTTTCTTCTCCTTCCCTCCCTTTCTTCTCTTTCCTGGCAGATTTTTTAATGTGAACCGGAGTGGCTTTTCTAACAGCACAATTCTCTGCAGGCTGCTTCAGTGGGAGGCCCCTGACTGTGACCTTCTCAGTAGCCCACATATGCTTATCAATAACTGCCTGACCTCCTTGTGATTCCTTCTCCAGCAGTGAATTCTTATGGCAGCCTGCAGTGCTGCACAGACCACAGAAATACCTCTCCCAGTGCACCACAGAAATCTCAAAGACCATCTGCCAAGGGTTGGCCTTACATAAATGCTTGTGTCTTGCAGACTTGAGGACAGTCAATCTGACCATTCCTGATCACAACATTACAATTATTTTAAAACAAAAAAAAATCATGGCCAAAGATGAAGACTTAGAAAACACCAAATTCATTGTTCAGAATGAGCTTAGCCTACTTTATTTTCTCTTCAATTAATTGAATTTCTCCTTATTTATTCAGCATGGATTTTACAGGAACCATTTACATACTTGATGCAGTGTATTGTGCTAGATTACTTTGCTGAATCAGTGCCTTAACTGGGAAATTGTGAAGAACTGTGCAAATAGCAGATCACTGTACCAATCTGGATATAATGCAAGTTTAAACAGAAGCTGAGATTTGGAGGAATCAGTTTCCTCTTGTAATTCTGAAGTACTCTGCAAGCATTGATTCACCATCATCCAAGTGTCCTGTTAAGAGAGTTCAACCACATGGATCAGCAATGAAGCATCCCATTACAGGGACTTCTCTGAAAGAGAAAATCAAACTGGGAACAACTCACTGATGCTAAGGGGATTTTGGACAGATTCATTTCCAGTTCACCAAGAAATTCTTATTCTTATTTCATCTATATATATACAGGGCTTCTGGAAGAGAGAAAGAATGGAGCTGGACACAATCCTATACAAACCCTAGTTATTCAGATAGTAACTCACACAAAACTGTCATAAATTGAGAATGCAGGATATCTGGCAAGCAGATGATGCAAGTAGATTGAAGTAAAAAAGACAGGTCTAGGTTCAGGGCTGCTGAAAGAGGCAATCTCTCAGGCTATGACCTAAAGGATCAATGCTTTTTCTGTATTTTGTGAAGCGCAGGTCAGCCTATGGTTCAGCACAGTATCGTATAGATAAATGCAGGGCTGCAGTTCTGCTCACGACGAACTGTGTACAAACTGTCTCACAGCCTGAACTTCTAGAAGATCTTTATTAATGCTCAAAAGTATTTCTTCTTTTTAAAAGACCTATTTTTTTACCCTTCTGGACAGTCTTAAGTAAATGGAAGATGGTCATACACTCTGATTTTGTTAATGTTTGCCACAAACAGGAGAACAAGATCCGAACAACATCATGTGGGCTGACCTACTAGAATTGCAGTTGTGTTCTGAATATTTCCAAGGACAGCAATACCACAGCCACTGTGGGTTATCTGTTGCAATATTTGATCAGCCTAAGAGTAAAACATTTTTACTTTCACCTAATTGCAACTTGATGTGTTCCAAACTGTCCAGCTTGTTAACTATCATCCTACCCCTGCAAGACCCGTATTCAAGACAGTCTGGCTCTCTCTTCTCTCTACTGTCCCATTAGGCCATCGTAAACAGCAATAACTCCTCTTAGCT